GCAGACCTATTCATTACCACTGTAACTTTCAATGACAAAATATCCCTAACCCACCACAACTCCATTTTTGTGTTGCCTAGCAAGGAAGATATAAGCTCCTTGAGGGCAGGGATTGTCTTTGCTTTTATATGTGGGAGGAGGGAGGGTCAGCTAGGTGACACAGTGGATAGAGTGAAGGAAGGCTCATCTTGGGTCTCCAGTGCTTGGCATACAGTAAGCTCTCGATAAACGCTTTCTCCATTCATTCATTCATTCAATCAATCCATCAGTCCCCTTTCTCCCAAAATATCAAGTCCTATCCATTCTTCCTTTGGTAATAACGTTGAATCTTTCTCCCTTTCTGTCCCCATTGCTACTACTCTAGTATCACCACACACATGAAATAGCAGTTTGTGAAATGGTTTTGTCTTCATCCCCCTCCAATCCATCCTGCACAACCCCTTTGGATTAGTCTGCATCAAATATACTTTCCATCATGTTATTTCCCTGTTCAAAAACCTTCAATGGTTCCTCTTTGCCTATAGAATAAATACAAACTCCTTAGCTTAGGACTCAAGATCTTCCACTGCATCCTTTTTCTAACCCTGTCATCTGCTACTCTCCATGTTCTCTTTTTCTAACCGTAACATCCACTACTCACCAGTGCTAACTCTTTGCTCTACTTAAGCTGGTCTATCTCTTGTCCTCAGAACATTTCCCATCACCTGACATTTCTTCCCTTCTCTCCAGCCATCCACATATCTTCTCTGTGAAGCCTTTCCTGAGACCACTCTAACTCACAATCATCTCTCCTTCCACTGACCTCTTATCTGAGTCCATTATCATTTATTGCCTTGTATTATTGTTAACTGACTTTTCCTACTTGTATTTCAGATCTTCCCAACAAAATCATCAGCTGCTTTATGGTGTTAGATACTGGTGGTCAATAAATGTTTGCTGCCTTAATTGAAAAAGACAAATTAGATACCGGGACAGGAATGTTGGGAAATTCTGTCCACTGTTCTATTGCAGTCAATTCTTAATTACGTGCCAACTGGTTCTCCAGATTATAGGTCATCCAGGCCAGTTTTTTCTTCCCCTCCTTTTCCACCTGCTTTTCATTTTGTTGCCAATTAACATTCCCACATTAGGGCAAACAGTTTCTTTACCTGTTTCTTACTCCAGTATCACGGCAGTGCATTGCACAAAGTGTTGACTTAACATTTTTGTTGAATGAACTAGCAAAGGATGGTAAAATAAATTAATCTACTCTACTATTTATTAATCACTCATTAAAGATTTTGGTGGGTGGAATGGTGAATTTATGGTTATAATGATGTCTGGAGATTACTTGTGAATCTTTTTATTTAGAGTCTTCCTGTAATGCTCTAATACCAGTTAGTTGGACCAGGAGACCTTGACTTTCTTTTGAGAATACTAACATTTTTCTTATTTCCCTCTTACTCAGTGAGAAGCTATAATCATGACATCACAGACAACAAAATTCAACCCAACAACCACTGTATTAGGCACCTAATATGTGCAAAGTTTCATGCCAGGTGTTGTGGGAAAGGGGATACTTCATTAATAAAATGGTGAGGTTAGACTCAGTGAATTCTCAGCTTCCTGCTGGCTCTAAATCTATGATCCTTAATCTAAATCTGATTTCTTAATATTTTATACCCTGAAATTCCCAACCATTTCTGTTCCTATTTTTCAGTGATCATGAAATCTCATTGAGTAGAGTCTGTAATAGAATTCTGGGGCTTGATGCCACCAGAACTATATCAAACACAAGCAGAAGTATCTGAAGGGTCTCACTCTCTATGAGATCCCTCTCCCATTTAGACTCTGAACAGGACAAACTCAAAGATGGCCCAAAGGACAATGGATACATCGCTGGCACAAAAATAGGTTGCAGCATTTTACCAACACTAATTTAAAAGAAATAAAGATTACTCAAGAAACCTATTAGTCAATAAATATTAATTAAGAACCTACTATGTGAAAATTTAATTTTGTTTTCTTTTTAAAAGAACCTACTATGTGCTAGATGCTGGGGATACAAAGAAAGGTAAAAGTCCCTGCCCTCAAGGAACTCACAGTCTACTAGGAGGCAATATGCAAACAACTGTATATAGACAAGCTATGTTAAGGAAGTGAGTTGATAATGTAGAAAGAACAAGGGTTAACAGATGGGATAAACTAAGTCCTTCACTAATACCTACAGAGTGTTTAAAGACCAAGAAGATGACTTTCAGAACATTGTATAAATTCTCCATGAATATGAGAGGGAAGTCACAGATACATGCATACAAAAGCACAGTATGATGAGTTAGATAGTCTATGCTTACCACACCTTATCAATGAGATCTCAAATCCATGAACTTGTGAAATATCACAATGATAGATCCAGAGGTGAAAGGAACCATAGAGGTCTTCTTGTCTAACCTCCTCATTTTATCAATGATGAAATTGAGCCCAGAGAGATTAAGCTACTTTCCCAAAGTCACATAGATTATAAATTGCAGAGCCAGCATTGGAACCCAGGGCTTCTAAATTCAGTGGTCTACTATGACTGTCTCACCAAAACAGCACCTAGAGCCCTAATCTAGAATCCCCTTAAGCAGAATGATAAAGCATCAGCCTGACCTAAAAGAGCAGTAGCCTAGAAGTCAGAAGACCAGGATTCTACTATCAGCTCCATCATTAATTAGCCATATGATCTAACAAGATTCAACTCAGCAAATATTTAATAAGCACTTAATATGGAGAAGTCACTGGGCAAGTTCCCTGAGCATCAGTTTCCTCATCCACAAAATAAGGGTATTGGATCAAAAGATCTCAAAAGCATTTTCTAGCTCTAAAATCCCACAATCTCTGATTCTGGATTTTCTTTTATCCTCTCTTTCCATACCCTTTAGTAACTCTTCACTATTTCATTCCCCTCTATTCCCCTGTACTCTCATGCTGCCTCATTCCTGAGCTCCTAAGAAGCAATTTATAACATCTAGACTAAGGTAAGAGTGAATTAACTGCATATTCCTCATTAGTACCTCTCCCCCTCTCCATTCCCACACACTCCATTATTACCTGAAATTTCAAAGGGGACCTAAAAAGACAGCAACTGATTAACACTGGAACAACCTGCAAATGGTAGAGTCCAAGCTTGACAAATCAGCTGAAGGTTTATAGTTGAAGTTGTGGTTGTTTTGTGGTTTCAATGATTGTTGTGGTTTTGTGTTCATATGTGTACATGTTAGGGGTTGGGGGTGGGGAGGTGGTGGAGAATACTTCCACCGAATAGGTAGGTGCCTCCTCTACTTGGGAGCTTGATACCACCAGAACAATATCAAATACAAATGGAAGTATCTGGAGGACCTCACTCTCCAGGAACTCCCTCTCCCATTTAGACTCTGCACAGGGCAAAATCACAGGTTGCCCAAAGTCCTTTGGATGTGTGCTTTTTAGGCAAGGCCAGATCTTCTCCCAGCAATATAACAACCTCTCCGATTTATAGGGAAAGCAAAAGATTTTCCTCACCAAATATCTAAGCTGGTAACTTTTATTATAATTCTTAGCTTGAGACTCACTTTACATCTCTGAAATTTCATCTACAAAAAGAGGACAGCAATGCTACCTCACAGACATGTAAGGAAAGTTGTATATGCCTAAAAGCACTAGACAAATATAAGCTAATAGAAAATTCTCTCTCTAATAACTAGACTCTAATTGAAGGTAAGAAAAAGAACTTGGCTATGTTTGTGATTATAATTTGGTCTTAAATGACAGAACAGGTTGTTTAGAGAGAGAGGAAGGGGAAGTGGACAAGCATTTATTAAGTACTATGTGCCAGGCATGTGCTAATCATCAGAAATTTGCATCCACCTGTTCTCTATTCACCAACATATTTAAGTATTCTGCCTCTAATTTTATAAAGACCAGTAAGCTTCCTTCCCACTCCCCATTTTGTTCAACTTTCTATTTTGTATATAAGAACAGAAGCAATAACTCAAACTGGAGGGAATACTGGATTTTTAGTCAGAAGACCTGGTTTTTAATTTCATCTCTATCAGTCTGTGTGACTTTGGGCAAATCACTTAACTCTTCTAGGCCTCTGTTCATTCATCTGTAAAATGAGGGAGTCAGACTGATGGCTTCTAAGGGCCCTTCCCTCTCTAATTCTACGATCCTATGAACAACAAAAGTATTTGCACTGGAAAAGAAAAGGAAGAGTTTTCCAGGAACTTTCCAGGCTTCCATTTTGAACCCTCTAGAGCAACCAAAACCTGCCAACTATGCCATGGCTTTGCTAGTCTATAATAATAGCAAGTGGTTATTCACCACATCTCCTTAATGGACATGCTCAACTAAAACTACTCTGCATACCACGCCCTTCTCTACCCTCCCCCCACACCCCATGCTTGGTTTCCAAGGACTGGATTACAACAAAGGTGGCTTGTACTCAGTGCAAGACCTGTGTAAACGACATCATTTATTACAGTTCAAGTAAGTTTTCCTTTGTTCTTTTGGCTTTTTTTTTTAAAGCTACTCAGTGATGATGTATTTAAAATGTCTCCATCCATTACTCCTTAGCTGGACAAAATCTTGTTGACATTTGAGTAAGACACCCCACATCTGTAAAATTCCAGAAGGCATATGGGTCAGACTGATCCAACAACTTCCTTTAGTTTGAAACCAAAAAAGCTAACAATTCACATTATAAATTAAAATACAAATCTCGTAGAGCTTTTTACTAAGTGTCCATATAAAGCTGTCTAGGCATTAGTGTATGGAAGATTGAAAAACTTTACACGGCAACCCCCAAGGTAACTGTGCCACAACGCAAAGCCAGCTACTCTGCACTGAACTCCCACTAAATAAATGCCTATGTGTAACATAATAGGTTAGGAATCCGATGCAGATCCCAGGGACAAGAGGGAAAGAGTGGAAAGGACAGTGATAAAGTTTATCACAACAGGCTAGATAAAATTTGCTGCATAAAAAATAGCTACCTTCAAACACATATGCCAGAAAACTTGGTTTTAATCTTTAAGAAACAGCAGCAGCAGCAGCAGCAGCCCTAACAACAACAGTGGCATCTACCTTGTCTGGATGCCTGTCTTCGAATCTTCATTTTAGGAAAAGAAGGCCATGAGTAGTTAAAAGGTGAGTCTGAATCTGAATCCATCCTTTCTGTTCAATCAACAGATCCTCAGGAAGCCCGTTGCAGCCGTCCAAGGCAGTCAAGTCTAAGTGTGATGCAAAGTCAAGGAAGGAATGGGGCAGGATCAAATAGCTCACTAACTCAGGGGAGGGAAAAGCAGTAAATGGTGTGCTCCCTTCAGGCGTCCAGGCATGTAGACAAGCGCAGCCTGTAAATATTAAAGCTAAACTAGGAGGGGGTTTGGCTTCTTTGTTTTTTTTTTCTTTAAAGAGAGAGGGCACCAAGAGAGAGGAAACTAGAAGCAACACTGATACATCACAGTCCAGTTATTCAAAAGGTCAATAGGAGCAAATGAATCATTAACTCACCTTTTCTCTTTGCTGAAAATGGAAATGAACAATGGAGGGAAGCCAGGATTGAAAGTGACTAAGAAAGCAAGCCTTCGAGGACTATTTAAAAAAATGCAAAACAAAACACACCTTCAAAAATAGAGGTTCACTGGGCTTTGGTGTCAACAGTATCATTTTTCAGAAGGAAAAAAAAAGTTTTGGGCTTTGTTTTTTGGTGTTTTTTTTTCTGTGCAACATTAGGTTAAAAGTTTGAGCTGGTAGAGCAGATATAAGCAGAAAGCTGGATGCTGCATGCCAGGTTATGTATCTCCTTAGTATTAACAGCCTTAGCAATGTTTCAGATCTTACAGCTGAGAAAGCACCGATAACCTGTCTAACAATACAGATCCCCTATCTTTTCAAACCTAAAGGGCAGAAAGCTTCAGCATTATAACGAAAAATACTGATCTCATTAAAGGAGTCTTCCAGCCACACACGTTATGTTTGATTTGAGTATTCTCCTTAGACCTGTCACTGAGTAAGGCCGTCTATCATAAGGATTTTGTGGGCCTGGCACCTTTACAACACAGCTCTAAACTTTCAGTCCTTAACAATAAAACTAGTGACTAATTTACAACAAATCATCCCTTCTTACACAGTCTCCCTGAACAACTCAACAGTGATTAGCATTCAGTCTGAATCCATTATCCCCTCCCCCAACATCTTTTCACCACACAAAATTAACTTCCCTGTTCTCCAAATACAGACCCTTCCAACAGGCTACAATTAACCAAGTTCTTTGCAAAAATGTCACAGCCCAAGATTCTCCAGTAAGTCTTTGGTGGTCCTGGAGATTGTTTTAATGTATTTTTGTGGATACTTTTTAATCTTTCATAATATCTGATCTACTCCACTACAGGTTGAATCATTCCTGGGTAAAAAGAAAAAAAGATTAAATGAAAACATTCCACTGAGAGCTAATAATAACAATGATAATAGCAGCTAACATTAATAGACTACTTATTATGTGCCAGGCACAAGAAGGCAGCTAGATGGCTCAGTAGAGTCAGGAAGATCTGAGTTCAAATTCAGCCTTAGACATTTATTAGCTGTGTGACCCTGGGCAAGTCACTTAATCTCTGTTTGCCTTACTCCACTGGAGAAGACAACCCCATAGATAGTATAGTCCATAGCATCAGACACACCTAAGAGCAACAACAAAGTGCCAGGGACTAGGCTAAGTGCTTTACAACTGTTATCTCCTTTGATCCTCACACCAATCCTGGGAGGAAGGAGGTGTTATTATCCCCATTTTACAGATAAGAAATCTGAAGGAAACCGAGTTTAGGTGACTTGCCCAAGGTCACACACAGCTAATAAACTGTCTGAGGCTGGATTTAAATCAGGTCCTCCTGACTCCCGGCCCAGTGCTTTTATCCACTGAGCCACCAAACTGTCCATAATCTGGCAATGGATGCGATATTCTGTCCTATAGTCCTCCACCTTACTGCTATGAAAGAGGAGATATTTTTTATTATTTCTTCTCTAGTACTTTATTGGGGTTTTTTTTCAATTGCTCAAAAGCTGAACTTCATTACTTTTTTTCCTAGTCTGTTTCCTACATTTAGAAAAGGAGAGAGATTACAATACAAGAACCAAGTCAATGCAGAGTTGGATTATGTAACATTTTACTCCATTTATGTTACAAACAGAGGAAGACGAGATTGTTATTAGCAAAGTCAGCAGCTGGAAAAAAAAAATGTTAACTTCTAATCCAAATGAGAATTGTATCAAGAACTCACTTTGTTATAAAATTTCAATTTAATGGGAAGTTATTTCTGTTTTGATAAATGTCCTATTTGTTGCACGTTCTCTTTCTGCCTAGCTAAATAACTATCTGACCAGAGACAAATCACCTAACCTCTCTGGGTTTCAATTTTCTCACCCACAAAATGGGAGGATCAGTAGCTTCCAGCTCTAAGCTTCATGTAAAGAAACTGGGACAGTAATATGTTATTCTCCCACATGTACAAGGGGTCACCCAGGTTCCTCCTCAATCCCATCCTTCTACTCTGAATGACATGAGAAGCAGCCCCTTTTAACTTGAACAATCTTGTCCGAAGGAATTTTTGTGGCCCCAAAAAGAAAACCGGGGAAAAGTTGGGGGGGGGGTGAAGCACTGTTACGCTTCCTGACTCATAGGAGGGGCTGGCATGTTACGGTTAGGGTTAGCTTAGAGGCTAAGAAAGGGTAGCAGACTGTAGAGTCAACCATGACCTAAACCAATACAATATTGAGACACTCAGTAGTTATAAGAGGTTATAAAATACCAAATGATATTCCTTAAGTCCTTGGAGCTATAAGGAGAATTTCAGATTAGGGACTTGTCCCAAGAGTGAAGTTCCTTTATCTGATACAGGTAAAGATACAGAACCTAAGGTATCAGATAAACAATTTATTTTATTAAACAGAGGTCCAAGTGAGTACAACTTTCCTAAGTCTTCTATCAAAACTTGCTCAGTGTACCCAGGTAAAAGCAGCCCCCACAAAATATAACAATCCCCATGAAAACTCCGTTGATTCTCAGAAGCCTTATTTTTGTTCTGTGTGTAAGCTTTTCATCTAAGGAAGAGTAGCATAATGAGCCTAATTGTGGAAAATTAGACGTTAATATCATTATCAGTTATTGATACTATATTGGAGAATGGAGATTCCATCAGTTCTCTACCCAAAATTCCTCTTCCTAGAAAAGAATATTAAAATTTTATATATGGTTTATGTTTATGCATGTATATTTATATACACATTATGTATATATCACATAAAATGTGTTTCATATTATGATATATCAAGTAAGATGAGGATAACATAACAACAGAGAACTGGCTGGCCTGAGAATGGGGAGAGCTCTCATTAACTAGCGAGATGACTTTGGATAAATCACTTAACTTGTCTGAGTCTCAGTTTCTGTATCTGTAAAATGATGAGGTTTGACTAAACGATCTCTAAGGCAAACACTATTTGCAAAATACTTTTTATTAACATAAAACTTCAATGAGGGAGCAGTCAACCCATGGCTATAAATTTTAAGACAGCATGAAACCCTCTTCAGAGCTGTGTGCACCATCTTTAAAGCAAGCACTGACCCTCCTCTATCCCCTCCAAAAAACCCTGCCATTATGAGTTACAATCACACTGACTTTTAAAGGAATCCTTTTTATAAAGTAATAGTTTTATTAGTAGATTGAGATATGTGAAAGAATTCTAATCATCCACCAAGGGAGAAAAGTGTTTTCATAGCAATTTGGGGGTATATATGGATGTACGGATATGAATACACACATAGAATATATATATATATATATATATATATATATATATATATATATATATATATATATATATATATATATATATATATATATATATGTATATATATATATACACACATATATATATACACACATATATATATACACACATATATATATATATATATACACATATATGAATGTGTGTAAGTGTGCATGTGCATGTATATATGTGTGTGCAGTGGTATCATGGCATAGTATAGATGGCTTCCGAAGTTAGGAAGACCCTGGTACAAATACAAGCTTTTGAATAAACTGGGTGGGTAAATCATTTAACCTGTCAGTGCCTAGACAACTCTTTAAGGCTGTAAACTACAGGACAATTTCAGATTCTCATTCACAGAGAGAGTTATTTCACCATGAGTTCTCCATCCCAACAAAATTAATTTTAAGTGTTAAAAGATATAATCCAGATCAGTAATAGTATGACCAACTGCCAACAATACTGATTTCTAGCTCCTCTCCTTCCTAAGGGTAGAAACTCTTGCTATTAGAATCTTCACAATCCCAAAAGTCATTCAAATTTTACATAATGATCTTTAAGCCAGGTTCAACACCTGAGCAGAATTCTTGCAACTAAGATTTTCTAAAGGTTTACATACCATAAAAATAATAGATAACTCTGGTCCCATAGGACCACAGAATAGCAGAAATGAAAAGGATCTCAGAAATGATTCCTCTCGTTTTACAAATAAGGAACCAGGCCCAGAAAAAAAGGGAAGAAGGGTGAAAGCGAAGGAAGGAAAATAGGCAGGAAGAGGATTTAAATACTATATTTTATGAGTATCATCTCATTTAGTGCTCACAACAACCCTGGGAGGTAGTGGCTATTATTATCCCCATTTTACAGTTGAGGAAACTGAGCCAGACAGTGGTAACATGATTTACCTAGAGTCACACAGATAGTGTCTGAGGCTAGATTTGAATTTAGGTCTTCCTGATTCCAGGTCCAGCACTCTATGCACTATGCCACCTAGCTGCCTCTAGAAACGTGAAGTGACTTTCCCAAACTTGCTTTGTGATCTATAATTGTGTTTCATATAATGATATATCAATTAAGAAGCTCTACCTCCATGCATTTGTGCAAATGTTCTCCCTATGCTGCTTCATTTCTACCTTTTGGATTCTTTTTTTTCTTTCAAGACCCAGCTTAGGTACATGTTGTGCACAAGTTGTATCTCTCTAGTAGAATGTAAGCTCTATGAGGACAGGGATTTTCATTTTGTACTTTGTACCACCAGTGACAAGGGTAGCTAGATGATTCAGTGGAGAGCCAGCTGGGCCTGAAGTCAGAAAGACTCA